TTTATGAGTTTACAAGTTTTAAGAAAAGTTTTAAAATTTCCGCTATTTTTACAGTGGGTCGCTCTAGTGGCCCTAATTTGACAACCCATATCGGATCGGGTTACCCGTATTGGTTTGAGGGGTTACATTTAGTGGTATCAGAGCTATGGTTTGAGTCAAACTTTTTCAAGAAAGACCGGCCGGTCGAATGTCAAAATATATTTGATCAGTACATGCCCCTAGAGTGCAATCGTACCTCTCTAAGTCGGAACTCCAGGACTGAATCTCTATTTGTAACGAGCAAACCGAAGTTTCTATCCGTTAAGACTATACTTGTACAAAAAGGAATATGCTACTGCTCTATGAGTCTATTCTCATGACCAAGACTGAATTATTCATCTGAGAAATTTTGACTCGACTCCGGAAATAAATTGGGATATGCTACTGCTCTATGAGTCTATTCTCATGACCATGACTGAATTGATTACTCTAAGAAATTTTCATTCGGATTCTTTTATTGAAATGAGAAAAAGTTTTGATAAGAATATATACTCAATTGATTAAGGATTAGTGAAAGATCTGTATTTCTATAAGAGCTACATGAAATATATGAAAGAACTGATAGAAGTTTCATTTCTGCAATAATATGACATGAATGAATTTCGAAGACGAAATTCTTTCAAGGAGGGGAGAATTGTAACACCCCAATTTAGGGGCTAAAATTAAGAAATTATAAATTGGTGAATTTAATTAGTATTTTTTGATAAAATTGGAGATTAAATTGTAAAATCATAAAGTTGGCATACCATTTTAAGAAGTGCAGGAAGTTCAATGACTAAACTTATAATTTAGCCATTTTTCTTTATGAGAATTTATAACCCCCTCCCCGTGCTACATAATTTATTTATCCCAGTTTTCCCTCTCCCCTTCTTTCAACTCCGATCTACTCGTCGTCCGACCTCCGATCGACGAGCCGAAACCACCATCATGTTCGTTGTCAACCGAGGAACAAAACCTCTCAAACCTTTCGTCGTGAATCGTCGTCGTTCGTCGTTAATTTCAGACGGAAGTATTGTCGGTAATAACTCGATTTCAATTGGTTTTTCGTCGATTCACGACGATCCGATGATCCGTTTACAACACCTCCCGCACCATCGTGTTCCTTGCATCGTTCCGAGTCCGCCGGTGTCATCCTTGGTCTCTGTCGACGGCGGCGCGTGAGGAGGTGAAAGGGTCAAAGTTTTCGATTTGTTGGAATCGAGCACTCCACCGTTCAAATTTGTGAACTGAGCTTTGTAAGTGCCTCGAAATCGCTTAAAATAATTTTTAAAAATTTTTCTGTGATTTTTAGGCTGCCGGAAGAGGACCCACGCGCCGCCACTGCGAGTGGGGATGGTCCAAATAACTGGTTTGACCAGTTTTATTACATATTTGACCGATTACAACCCGTTGACCCGACCCGTTGACCGTTGATCGGCGTTGACCAAAGTTGACTGAAACTTTGAATGACTTTGACCGGGCATTAAACGACCTTTGACTTTGATGAGTATACCTATCATGACATTTTTCGACGTTCCAAATCCGATTCCGCAGTCTGTTTTTCGAAATTCAGACCCGAAGGCCTCGAAATTGCCAGTCAAACCCGTTGACTTTGATTTTGACTAAAAATTCTAAATTTTAAAAAAGTCATATTTTATGCTTTCGACATCTTGAATCCGAATCCGAATCCGAAGTCTGTTTCGTCAAATTCTAACCCGGTAAGCTTTTTTTCATTGATTTATCATCCGATTCGATCCGTTTTTCAGAATTAAGCTCTGTTTTTTATGTAATTTCTGTTGATATGGATCGAAGGAAATATTGGAAGATGATTTCAAGATCGAGGGCGTTCGAATGGAATTTAATGGTCGATCAGCATTGCACGAAAATCGAGGTAATACTTTACTTCCTCTTTATACTTTATGGAACATGTTGATATTGGTAAATGCATGAATAAGATAATGTTGATCACTTTTGTGGAGTTGAATAATTTATTCACTCGATATGAATGTGGTAGAAATTCTGTAACTGAATACTAAACGAATGTCTAATATAAGAGATTGAAAGATTATTAGAATTAAATTACAAATTTGTGATTAATGATAAAGAAATCAGCCATGTACTTGTAAATTATATTTTATATCATCAAAGGTTAAATATTAAAGGTACTTGGATACGAAATTATGAGAATACTCTGGTAGGGTAAAATTACGAAAATACCCTTATAATGTAAGATGATAAGAACTGTCCATGGAAATTGGTTAATAACTATGAAAAGACATTGATCTGATATAATTACAGATGTGCATAAGAAATAATAGTTTTATTTAGAAAATTTGGATAACTGATTTTTAACGCCAAAAAGAGTTTGCGCAAGATGCTAGAAGTGTGTTAAGGAATAATTTCAAGATCAAAGAATGTTCGGGAAGCAATTGACCATAGGATCTTTAAATTATAATTATTTTTGTTAAGAGCTAATATCGAAATTATCTGGTTAAGAAATTACGAAAATGCACTTGAGAGGTAAAATAGTCTGAGTTGACCCTGAATGAGAAAGTACTTTGAAGACTTGTACTTAACTCGATTAAGTACGAATTTGATTGTTAAGATCATGACTTAGTGTATAAAATTTCTTGATATTCCGTTGGTAAAAATTTGAGAAAGCACTTGACCCGAAAATATCCAAGTTATGAGTAAATACCTGAAAAACAATTTATCGCAGGGTGCTCTTTTATCAGAATTGTTCGAAGAGACTGAAATAGAGGATAAATTGGAATTAAATAATAAGACCGGATGGAGGGAAAAGATTGAAATACCGTAGATCTGTAAAATGACAAAAATACCCCTGCAATAAAAATAACCCAAGAATATCACCAAGCTCATGAATGATTGAATATCCTCGAGCTCTGAAATGAATGGAATAAGACTGAGCATCAAAATGACCAAAATACCCTTATGACCTAGAATAAGTAAATGTATTGGATTGATTTAGTAATCCAAATAAGCATAGGTGTTGGACTACCTTTAAAAGTTATGGTACACAGCTTAAATGAGTTGATCAATCGTAATGATATGTCAGTACCTGGACGACATAGATATTACTTGAATGTGTGTTCATGTTCTCAACTGTGGCTTGATGATAATTTTGAAAGTATTCAGCTCAACTAAACTCTAGATCGCATTCAATATTAAGAAATGGATATTCATTAGACAAATCAACTACGACTACCAAATTGAATTGAACGGAAGTGCAATATGTATCTGAAATTCAGAAGTCTGAATTACTATGGAAAACCCTAAAGTAACTGTAAAGGACTTGTCTGCTAAATGAACAAAGTAACTCACAGACTGAGGATTAAGTAAGAGATTGGGATAAGTTTGGAAACTCGGATTAACTTATATGATGTATCGTCCTCATGAATTATGAACCACAAATCAACTATGTCAGCATTTCCTGGTATACTTGAAACATGGAAATGAAATAAAGACCATTAGAATATTTGTTTGTCTCCTTAAGATCTATTCAGTGATGACTCAGAAGATAATTTGTGGATAAGAATATTTGTATTAAAGAGTAAATACCATGGAATGTTAATGAATTGACAAGTTAATAAGTATTGGTTATGGGAGCTATTCATCTGGAGTTGTTCGATAATCGGATTAATCGTCATAGATTGTAAAGATTCCGAATACCTTCAGATTTCGTAGAGCTTTAGAAAAGTGTCCGAATAAGATTGATCCCGATAAATCATATCATGAATAACTGATGATTCTGTCAGTTAATGAACTTTTCAAACAGTGATTCTAACTTCAGACATTCTATCGGTAAACTGAAGATTCGTATTTCTCTACCCGATAAGATTATCCAATATCTCTAAATAATATCCATAAACTCTGGTGTGTTCCCTACTCACATGAATATTTTATCTGATTTTCGATTTGAATTCTGATCTGATACTTGACATGGATTCTGATCTAATATCTGACATGGATTCTGATCTGATACTTGACTTGGATTTTGATCTGATACTTGATCTGGATTTTGATATGAAACTTGACCTGATTTATGTTTTGATTTTTGATATATTCGTTTACGGACGGACATATTTTACTTGGGGGTAATGTTGAAAGAAGTACACCTGGAGGCTCCTCGACTGTGTGCTCAGGGCCTTACTGGACTTGACGGTGGGTGTATGGTTCTGGGGAATCTACACATTTTGGACTTGACGAATGGGGTATATATATTTATATATGTTTTAAAAAGATCTGAAAAGTTACATGATTTTTGGGAATACACTAGAAAACCTATTCTAATCTCCTGAACCTAAACATCCCAAATATTTTCCATCAGAACTGAATACTATCTGTTAATACTTGAAATATCATGAGACCTCAGCTCAGCTAAAGAAATCTGTAGATATCTGAACCAAAAAGAGAATATATGTTTATCTGTATATGCACGTTCTTCAGCATCATCTGGTAGTTATGTATTACTGAGCTTTCCGAAGCTCACTCTGCTACTCACCTTTTCAGGTTAAAAGAATCGTACCAGTGCATCTATCGACATTAGTAAGGAAGATCTTCCGGCGTTGCTTGCAGAGTATGGTACATGTGATTAGGGGACATCTAATTGTATTTTGTTTTATATACGAGTCTGAAAATCTGTTTTATTTCGAATATTGATAACTTTTATTTTGTACTCATAAATGATTTTGAGTTTACAAGTTTTAAGAAAAGTTTTAAAATTTCCGTTATTTTTACAGTGGGTCGCTCCGGTGGCCCTAATGTGACAACGCATATCGGATCGGATTACCCATATCGGTCTGGGGGGTTACATAGGATTAGTATCTTTCCTTTCTAGAGTTTCCTACTTTAGAGAGATAATTTGTATATAAATATGTAATCTGTCCTATTGAAAAGAATAAGAAATTACAGAGAATTACTCTGATTTCTATAAAAATAAATATATGGGAAAAAAAACGTACTGGGGGAAGATACACAGCACGCCCCATCCTTGGTATAATCCAAGAAATGATATTAGCATCAATTTCCAGTGAAGCAAAATCAATCCACTGTTCAATAAGGGCCTAAAACGGAACACATGAAAGAAAAAAAGAAAACATCATATAGGGTAGCAAAGTAAAATCATAAAAAAATCTAATCGAAGTGACGAAAACAAATGAAAAATCTTACACGTTCGTAAAGAGACGAACCATACAGAGAATTATCAGCCTTCAAGCGAGTAACTAAAGCAACAATAAAGGACCAATAAGTTTTAAGAGGATCATTTGAAGATCTCTGGTGAAGATTAAGGGAGTAATGAGTTCAAACCATATCGAGCGATGGCATTGCTTTCAAAAATGGGGCCATCAGGTGTTTCCAGCACAGGAACCTAAAAACCAGCATGTATTTTTCGTTTCAAAATACTAAAATCAATATATAAAACAGCATATCCTTGAACATCAACATCATTGCATATACATATACCTTCCCGATAGGGGTCATCTTGAGAAATTCAGGTGTTTTATTTGAGACACCCATCTCGAAATTGTCAGCAAGTTTGACATCTATACCACTGTACTCTGCGACAATGAGAGTCTTGAATGAATTCTTATGGGTCTTCTTAGCATGCAAGATCTACAAAATAGGTCAAACAAATGTGTTATTGAGGAAAGTAAAATGGTTCACAATTCAAAGCACGAACCAAGTCCAACAATTATTCGAATGACTATAAAGGAAAAGCTTGAAGCAAGTCAGAAATTCTTGCCAGTCGAATCAGAGTGAAAAAATTTATAACAGTGTGGTTTTACTTCTATAAGAAATCATACTGTTAGAACTGAGAGTACTTGTCCCGAATTATTTAAATTTTTTATCCAGATACAATATTTTCTCGTTACAACTTGATTTTAGCAAAATAGGAAGCAGCAAAACCAACAATAAAAATGATTTAAATTCCCAAACACACAGAACACCTGATAAGAAAGATTCAAAGTGAAGATTATGCTAGTCTAATGCTCACTCCAGAAATCTCAAAAAATATATCATAAGAAACGAAGTGCATCGAAAAGAATACTGATTACAACGATCTAATTGAAGAAGAAATTAACTCACTAGAGCCATAGCTTAACAAAGAAAGCGTTTAACACTCCGAGATTAGATCTGAAACAGAGAAAACAAAGGCCAGTTAAGTTAAAACAAATAAGTTTAATAGATAAACCCGGATCATTTTAACAGATACTTCAAGTACGAAATTACCTTTCCTTAATCTAAATATGTCAACCAAATTTAGTGTAAATTAGGTATACCCCGATGAAGAACCTTTCTACCCAGAGCGAGGGAGAGAGTAGAGACTTGAGTGAGACAGTCCTGCAAAATTAGGGTTTTAAGTCAAATTGTCTGAGATCGATGAGTTGACGATTAGAATTATATTTTGTTTTTTTATTAACATAATATACGTTTTAAAAAATAATTATTAATCAATTAATTTTAAAAGCTCACATATCTAGTATTTATAATATTGTAACTTAAAACGTAAAAAAATATTAATTCTTTTAACATCCCATGATTCATATACAAATAGAATTATATACAAATAGAATTATATTAAATTAGAGGATTATAGTGGAGTTGAATGATGTATGAGATATCGACTAGGAATTCTAATCGGGGATTGTCTCAGGAAAAGCGGGCTAATATACGGTTAATATACGGTGTTACTGGATACATTATAATATATTTAACAAATTCCGTTTAGCGCTACCTGAAATATCGAGTAATAACAATGTTGTAGGTGGAAATCATGAAGAAAATATTAAAAAATTTGGCAACCGGCAAACTTAGCTTGTCGGTTTGTGTCGATACAAATTAAAAATGTATCGACCCATAGCAATATAACAGGTAAAAATATGATAAAACCGGTGTCATTACGATAAAACCAGTAAAGCGCTACCGGATATATTGAAAGTGTCGATAAATTAATATAAGTGTCGACACTTTTGTAATTTAAAATAGAAGAAGTTATAGCGCCTAAAAGGTGTCGATACTTTATAAAAATGTGTCGATCCATAGCAATATAACAGGTAATAATATGACAAAACATGTCTCTAAATGATAAAACCGGTAAAAAACTATCGGATATATTGAAAGTGTCGATAAATTAATATAAGTATCAACACTTTTGTAATTTAAAAGAGAAGAAGTTATAGCGCCTGAAAAGTGCCGATACTTTATACAAATGTATCGATCCATAGTAATATATCCGGTAATAATATGACAAAAGAGGTCTCGAAATGATAAAATCGGTAAAAATATATCGGATATATTGAAAGTGTTGATAAATTAATATAAGTATCGACACTTTCATAATTTAAAAGAGAAGAAATTATAGCGCCTAAAAAGTGTCGATATTTTAAGAAAATGTATCGATCCATAACAATATAATAGGTAAAAATATGATAAAACCGGTATCGAAATGACAAAACCGGTAAAACGCTATCGGTTATGTTGAAAGTGTCGGTACTTTAATAAGTACGCGTAAACAAGTATCGACACTTTAAGATAAATAGGTAAATATCCTCTCGAAAGTATCGACAATTATGTAATTGTATCGATTAAATATAAATAACATATCCGGTGTAAAATATAAAGGCATAGCTAAATTTCTTCTGAAAATATATAGAGTTTTTTAAATCGAAGCGTAATTGTTGTTGCATTTCAGAAGGCGTTTCTACGTTGAAGTTTGTTTTGTTTGTTGCTGCATTTCAAATCGAAAGGTGTGTTGTTGAAACCCTAGTTTTTTAATATTACAGTAATTAGGGTTTTTATGTGTTGTTGTTTGGGGTTTTCGAAGTAAAGAAGCATTTGAGACCGATTACATGTAGAAAGTGATCTTCTAGGTAGATGATAAATATCGATACTTTTATTTAATATTATAGGTAGAAAATGATATTATAAGTTGTATAAATGTGCCGATACTTTGAGTATTAAGTGTTCCCATTCGTTTGAAGGAAATAGGGAGGTTTTGGGACCGATTATTATATAATATTATAGGTAGAAAATAAATATGGATACCTGTATATAATATTATAGGTAGAAAATGATATTTGAGGTTTGTATAAATGTGTCGACACTTGTTGTAGTGGCCATTCAAATTCTATTGAAGACCAACCGTTTTACCACAAGAGTGATTATCGATTTTTGTATACAAGTATTTGATTTGATTTGCGTAAACTGATATATGAAGGAAAAAAGAAGTCAATGGGTGGAAAGCAACCAAAGGGTGGATATATGTATTTCTAGTAATTATCAATTTCTTTTTGTTATTATTGTTGAAATGGTAATTGGATTAAAGTATTTAGGGACTTTAAATTGATTACAAATTTTAAATGTTGACAGTATGGACGAATGCAAAAGGATGAAGGAAGATGGCACACACAGCAGTTGGGTATGTAAAATGAAATTGATATTGAGTATTATTTAGCGTTAATGTATTGATTAAGAAATGTTTATGCTTAATATTAGGTGAAAAAGGATGTGAGGGTGAAATGGAATTCGATGAGTGATGCTCAAAAGGAACCTTACATCACACTGTCAAGGAATGATAGTAAAAAATACAAAGAACGGAGGAAAGCACATGAAAAGAATGTATTCATTAAACTTGTAAATACGTTGATACAAGATATATAAGAACAATAACATTATATATTGTTAAAAAATGTAGGATGTGTCGACAAGGTGCATCATAAAAATGGTGTATTCATTAATTAAACACCTTAAAAAGAATGATCAGTTGAATGTGTTTAGTGAAATGAGGTTTGGATCATTGATAGGAGTAAAGGATCAACCAATTCGAAGGGAATTGTGTCGATCCTAGATGGAGCAATTTGATGTCAAACAATGTATTGCTAAATATGCCGATTATTCATTCCCTCTGGGGGTATCGACTGCTGCAGCCGTCTTGGGGGTACAAAACAAAGGCAAAAGTGTCCATAATGTGTTTTCCAAACAAAACAAATTCACAAATAAGTGTCGACACATTTATATCAAGTGTCGATCCCAAAAACATCGAAACCCGTAACTATAATGTAATAGGTCACTTTACAATGTAACCGGTTTAAATTTACAGGTTTTATGAGAAAATATGTCTACAATATGTGTCGACACTTTATTCATTTATGTCGATACATGTTATCCAGAATGTATTTCCAAACCAAGTGCACGAACAAAGTGTCGATACATTTATAAAAAGTGTCGATACATTTATAAAAAGTGTCGATCCCAAAAACATCGAAATTCGTAATTATAATGTAATAGGTAAAATAAAAATGTAACCGGTCTAAATATATCGGTTTATGAGAAAAGAGGTATTCATAAAGTATCGACACTTTATAAATTTGTACCGATACTTTGTGTCCATAATGTGTTTTCCAAACAAAACAAGTTCATTAATAAGTGTCGACACATTTATATCAAGTGTCGATCCAAAAAACATCGAAACTCGTAACTATAATGTAATAGGTCACTTTACAATGTAACCAGTTTAAATTTACCGGTTTTATGAGAAAATAGGTCTACAATATGTGTCGACACTTTATTCATTTGTGTCGATACATGTTGTCCAGAATGTATTTCCAAACCAAGTGCATGAACAAAGTGTCGATACATTTATAAAAAGTGTCGATCCTACAAACATCGAAACACATAATTATAATGTAATCGGTAACATAACAATGTAACCGGTCTAAATATACTGGTTATTTAAAAAAAAGGTATACATAATGTATCGATACTTTATACATTTGTGTCGACACTTTATGTCCATAATAAATTTTCCAAACAAGTTCACGAAAAATTATCGATACATTTAGAAAAAGTGTCGATCCTAAAAACATCGAAACCTGTAATTATAATGTAATAGGTCACTTTACAATGTAACCGGTTTAAATTTATCGGTTTTATGAGAAAATAGGTCTACAGAATGTATCGACACTTTTTAAATTAATCGATACTTTTGAAAATTACGCGTGTTTTTTCTTATATATACAAAACCCAAAACGAAAAACCCTAAAGGCAGAAAACTATTCCACTCCGACGGTGATGACCTTCAAATGGAGCCCCAGCGAATCAACATTGAAGAAAATCGAAAGCGACCAGTAAGTATCAATGTATTCATGTAATTGTTCTTGAAATGGTAATTGGATTCAAGTGTTTAAGATCTTTTAATTCATTATAAATTTCAAATCTCTACAGTCTGACTGATTGCAAAATAATAAAGGAAGCTCATAATCATGTTGACTGTATAGCCAATAAAATACCCTTTCAGGGTCCAAATGATAAGCTATGAATTAGAAAGACAAGCTTTCTTTTGAGGGTTTAGGGACTGAATCCCTACAACATAAGGAGTACATGATTGAACATTACATATAATAGTTGTATTCAGTTGTTGAAGAATTGTTTTTAATTTTATACGAATATAGTTGTAATGTTCAAACATGATTGAATGATGTGGTTAATTTGCAATAACAATAGGTTGTTGTACATGTTTCCTATACATAGTAGGAGTCATGTTGATACTTAGGATATATGGAGATCGTTGTCTGCATTATTCCAAATGTCTCTAACATCATGTGCGGGACTGAATGACCAGTCCATTTCATCTTCAAAAAAATCAGTTGAAGTAGGCTGCGTGCTTGTATTCAAACCCAGCTTGACTTGAGGACATGTTAGTTTGTTATGTCCCTCACCGTTGTAGAACCCACATCGCCTAATTTTATTCTCGACATTGTTCTTTGTTACTTCTTTTCGCTTGTGTTGTTTTCGTTAAAGGTCGTGAACGATGTTTAATACACTGCTCTGATTGACTGAATCATTCAAACCAAACGAGTTCTCAAATTCTTCTATTAATATTTTCATCTCATCTCTTGCGGTTTTGAAAGACGCGTCTGTCTTTAATGCAACATATCATAACATACTTGTTGTTGCATGTAGAGAAGCAAACCTTGCCATTTGCATTATTTCTGGAGGCACATTAAAATCAACAAAACTGGGTGCAGAAGCCTTCGGATCCTTAGTCCACCTAATTTGAATCAAAGACCCGGGCAAATATGTGTAATCCAAATGCTTCAAAACGTGAAGTTGATGGCGACATGGAAGTCCAACTGTCTCGATTTTTTTGCATGAGCAATTTAGGGTTTCAGCACGAGAATCAAAACTAATTTCAAATGTCATATTTTTTCTTTGTATTTTTTCAAATAAAAATATTGGCATTCATCTGATAATGACTCAATCTCTTCCTGAATCCGGTACAATGTCTCCCGTTGAAGTTCTTCTTGGAACGC